GGGATTAAAGGTGTGTGCCACCACCGCCCAGCTCCTCTCTTTCTTTCTTTCTTTCTTTCTTTCTTTCTTTCTTTCTTTCTTCCTCTCACCCTCCTCTTCCTTCAGTCAGGTTATCTTTCCCTTTACTATATAGGAGAAATAACTCTAGAGATAGTTTTTGAGAAGAGGAAGCCTGTATTCTTTTGAGTCACCCTAGGCAAGTCCTATTAACAAAGGGAGAAGCGTATGCCCTATGGAGTTTGTTTGTCTTGGGTGGTCTTGACAATCTGCATTAACCATCAGTTTCTTTCCTCAGGACCAAGTCCACACCCCTTGTGTGCCTTTATGACTTGAACAGTCCCTCTTGTACTGTCTCACAGTCCATGAGCTTCCTCCCTTTCCCGCTTCATGGAGCGCTAAAACTGTCTTCAGAGAAAGACTATAGTCTTCCATCGGAAAAGGGATGCACTCATCCTCTCATTGTGCTTCTGCAGACTCTAATAAAGCTCAATACTCATGGTGCCATATAAATGTTGAGTTATCGATCAGAGGAAAACTTAATAGAAGTCAATCCATTTACAAAATTCTACTAGAGCATTTGACAGCTTTAGGAAAAGAAAAAGCTAGAGGGAATATGAGGGGAAAGTCATAAAATTACACATATCTTCACTTGGAGTGGTTTTTTGAAGTACAAAGTGAAAGTTTATATATTTTATATGATTTTTAAAATACTTCAAAACAAGAACTTGATGCCAGAAATATCCTAGGAAATGAGGGCAGCTTGCCATCGGTACTCTGCCTCAACCTGTTACACATATACTCTGAAAGAGCATTCAGGGCCTTCATATATTTCCCATCGGATAAAATGCGTAAGACAGGGGAAAGAGTGCCAGCCAGTCAGAGCGAACCTGCACAGATACTTTCCTGTAGCAGAGCTGAGGAATGATTAGCTCACACATGAGGCAGAAGTCATTTTCTCAGTCTGCCCACTCCTCACACCATCAAGTCTTCCCTTAGGGACAAGGGCATTTAAGTGCTGATTGGGTGAGGAGAAATCGGAATACATCAAAAGAGCATGTTTGAGCATTTTCTCTTAGAAGTTGTCTGATGTATTTGTTTTAATTAAAAAACAATCCGAGTCAGCTGTGATCGGACTGTAGGAATGTTTAAATTGAGAGTAGCAAGCAAATGGTACCCAAAGTCCGCCTGTGGTCTTGTTGTTTTGTTTTTGTTCTGTAGCAGTGGGCCTCTCTAGGAATGATGACAGACTTAGACAGACCTCTAGCCCCACGAGTATTGACAAAGAAACTAGTATTTGCCAAATTTCGTGTCCCATAGCGTGAATCTTTTTAACTTCACAGTAAGTGGTGGATAAGAGTAATGGGCCCCCAACATTTCTCAAGAAAACGTCTTCAGCCTGTAGCCAACTCCTGTGGCTCCGAGCTGACGGCGTTTTTCCCTTTCAAAGAGAAGCTGCTGCTTCAGCATCATCTCCCGGAGCCCTTGGCAAGATTTCAGGCCATGTGTCAGGGGAACCCTTGCGCACATTACTGTGACGGAAGCCAAGTGCTGTCCCACAAGCATTGAGTATTACTTATACTCCGGAGAGTTAAAGCAGATGCATGGGTATTACACAGCTCAGAGGTGCCTTGAAGAACACCAACGCGCATGTCATTCCTCAGCCGCCCATGACACAGCCCTTTCCCGGTCTTTATGGAGTTTAGCCAGCAGTGTTTGGTGAAGTGTTTTCTTTCGTTAGCTCCTCAAGCAAGATTCGAACAGTTAAATAGAAGAGTTCTCAAATATTTTTTTAAGGAGGGACACAGCATCTATGACCCCCTAGGGGGCGTTTTATTAATGAATGCAGTGTGTGTTCTTGGGAAAGGCCAACATTAAACTGGCTCACTGTTTGTGTCCAGCTAGCTGCAGATGACATTTAGGTGTGTTGTTTGGTGTGGTGACTCAATTTCCTGTATGATAGCTGGCAACTCCACATCAAGTTTCCCCCCCAACACACTCACAGGGGTGGAGAGGTTATAAAGGTCAGTTACTTGATGTCTTAGTACAGTTGGGGTTGAATTTCCTGAAAGTGAAGACTTATAGTGACCCTGGAAAACAGGAGCTAGTCATGTTGCCTCAGTCTGAAAGAAAGAATTCTCAACCTAACAGGTCTTTACTCCAGCCATGACTTCATAAAACAAATGTGTTATTCTATTGTATTCTCCCACCAATATGTACAGGTTTCTGGGGAATTTTCTCCTCTAAATATATAGAGAGCATGTGGAAGATTTTGGAACTTATGCATGCGATCTTGCTTGATTTCTTACAGTCAAAATGCCATGATTTGAATATGGAATGGGTCTTCTGTAATCAATTACCACTCCCTCACAGGCAAGCCCTGTGTCTAAGTGTATGATGTCTTACAGCATTAACTTGAGACTTTCCCAAATTACTGTTCCACATTAAAAAATAAAAACTGAAATATAACACACAGAGCCATATCCTGCTAGGTCCAAGGTCTAAATTCTACTTCTGATTTCAGAAATCTTTCATGAAAATAGTAAAAGTGGGGTCACATGCCACATACTGGGAGATCCCTTGGAACTCAGGCTTTCAGAGATTTGGGTGCCAGGAAGCAGGGACATAGAACATCAAGCTTTAGCGATGTGTAGAGGATGCCTGACTTTGGATAACTGGGAAGACGGCAGCGATGGATTCTATAAAATAGCTATGCCTCTGACTGCACTGTATATACGAACTACGGACAAATCATACGACCATCAATTATTTTCCTCCTACAATTTCCTGTGCTCCTATTTTACATAGTAGAGAGAGGAAAAAAGTAACGGTGAAACTGTACAGTAAATGGACTGTCCTCGTGTCCAGACAATGTTCTACTTAATATGGAATGGACTCAGTATATTTAAATGTTGAATTATTTTTTCAGATCTTTAAGTTATGGGACAACACAGGATTTTCTATGTTTTTTTTTTGTCTTTTTATACCAGGCATGTAATATTTCACAGTTTTACAATCAGGGGAACATTAAACTGATAAAATATTTAATAGCCACCTTGTAAATATTTCTTTGTTTCCTTTGTTAAAGAAAAGAGTACCAGCCTTAAATTTCAATTCACCTGGCAAGGTTTAGGCAATTGTTAATGTAAGATTCATTTACAGAGATTAATCACACATACACACACACAGAGAGAACCACATTTTAATGCATAACACTCAAAATGGCAAGCATACATCTCAAAAATCTTGGGTAAGGACAAACCTAACACACCCTGGAAGATGATTGAAACTTACAAATTTAAGGGAAATCCCAGAATCCTGAGAGTCAACCCTTCTCAGATAATTAGTATAATCTACACTGGGACAGATTACTTTACCCCACAGTACTGTTGATTGCAAGATGAAGAAGAAGACCCCGCCCTTTCTGCTGACAGTTTTGTAGGATAGACCCTTGGGATTTCGACTTTCCTCTTTCTGAAATAATATTGCTGGTCAGTTTTGAAACTGATCAGTTTAGGGAAAGTGCCCAAGGTCCTTTGGTCAACTTTGATCAACAGAACCCATTCCCCCACAGTGCTGCTGGTGCTGATTTTGTCTATGGTGGGCAGAAACAGACTTCCAGACTTTCTGTCTTGGACCCAAATCCAGGTGTTCTTGTGCGTTCTGCAGAAGAGACGGCAAGGCAAGGCGTGTGTAAACCTTACCCTGTGGTTAGTTCATATTGCTGTTCCTTTAAGGTAACTCTTAGGTAATTCTGAACCTGAAATGTAGCCTGTCGTAAAGTTCACTATGGCTTGTCTGTTTACATCCACACTAAATGTTAGAGGGGGCTGGCTGGGTATTGCCAATGCGCCCTTAACAGAAACTATTTTATTCCCATAATCCTGTCCCTTCAAGTAAGTAAATCCTAAACCCAGGGAAACTCCCAAACCTCAATCTGCAGGAAGGGTAGTGTCTGTTCTAAGTCACCTTGCTTTTGCCCAGGACGCCCAGGCCTGGCAGGCTGCACTGGGACTGAGAGCCTGGGGACTCCGCTTTGCCCCTGGGGGGTCCCCGCAAAGCAGGTGCGCGCTTGGTTGGTCGCACGCGCCTGCGCGCTGGGGGCCAGCGACCGAGCCCCTCCTGAGCCCCGCGGGGACCCCCGGGTGGCGGGCGACCGGCGCTCCACGCCAGGTTTTCCTCCGTCCTGGTGCAGACCGACCAGCAGCCCCACGGAAGCTCCGCACACACGCGCGAGCACGGCCGCGCCTCCCTCCCGACTGCCTTCAAAGCAGCAGCGCAGGCTGCCTGGGGCGATGCCGCGGCGAGGTGGTGGCAGGGCGGGTGACACGGGCAGCCTATTGCAATTCGGAATCCTTTCGTAAGGAGTCGCGGGGGGTCAGGGGGAGCCAGACAGCGCCGCGGGGCCACGAGGGGCGCGAGGGGGAGTGTTCCCGGAAAGCCAGCATGGAGCGGTGCAGCTCCCGCCCGCCCTCGGACTTGAGCGACAAAACAGGAAACGGCGGCCGCGGCTGATTCATTCGCTTCGCGCGCGGGGCTCGGCGAGAGGCAGCGTGGAGCCGTGGTTGCGGGACGTGGACACCCGTGGACCGCTGGCCCGTCTGCGGGGTGTTCCCCCTCCCTCCCCAACCCGCTCGAGCGTGCCACCCCCCGGGTAGCATCCGAGCGAGCCAGCGAGCGAGCGCAGGGATCCCGGAGCTTGCGCTGTTGAGAATTCGCCCAAGTGACCGTGCCAAAGTTGGCCTGCAGCACTTTGCGCCCCTCCCTGGAGGCTGACCCGCGACGTCAAGCTGGAGCATCCTGGCCAGCCTGAGCCCGGCCCCGCCAGTCCAGCCTCAGCCCCCTGTGCGTCGCCGGGCCCGGCAATATGAAGGAGCAGCCCTCATGTGTGGGCACCGGGCATCCGAGCATGGCGGGGTACGGCAGGATGGCCCCCTTTGAACTCGCTGGTGGCCCCGTGAAGCGCTTGAGAACTGAGTCCCCCTTTCCCTGTCTCTTCGCAGAGGAGGCCTACCAGAAACTGGCCAGCGAGACCCTGGAGGAGCTGGACTGGTGTCTGGACCAGCTAGAGACCCTGCAGACCAGACACTCCGTCAGTGAGATGGCCTCCAACAAGGTAAGCCCCTGCTTTGGTTCGGGTGTCATTGACACTGCTAGACTGATGATTCCCACGCTGGGGAAGCACCGGTCCCTGTGGCCTGGGGAAATACAGAGAAAAATTTGTCATGCTTACTGCGTGTTAGCTGTTCTGCTCCTTCGGAGGGAGGTTCCTGTTTGCACACTTCCCTGTAGGTAGATTAAACATTTTACAACAGCAACTTTGACATAGTTCTAACATCCCTAGAATGAAGGGTTCTTAGAATGACACTTTGCCCTTGCAGCAGAAATTCAGTAGGGTCTGGTGGCGTTGCATATTATCAGAGGGACTGCTTAAGATTCCTGGTTCGAAATAAAGAGTTTCAGGACTCGGTGAAGTCACTTAGGATGCCACCACCGACCTCGCTCACACCCAGGAGAGTTCACTGAACTTGCAACCTGCACCCCCATTTCTTTGGTTCTCGGGTTGCCTTGTAAGGATCGGGCCTTTAAATATTCTGTTCCCGGTATACATTCACAGAGAATACTAACAAACTTAGAAGGGTCCTTATGCTGCCTTTGTCTCCTTTGGTCTTGGAGATCAAATCCAGGTTTCTAAGGTCATTTAGTTACCACTAGGCTTCAGCTGGGTGTTTGTGCCCTGTGTGTCAAGGTGGGGCTGGTCTTGGCAGCTAATGGAGTTTGGGGGGCTGAGAAGTAACCTTCAGCAGCAGTAGCCTCGGAGAAGGTAAGGTAGAATACTTTAAGGGTTGCATTCAAAACTACAGCACAATCGTGTGCTTTATGTCTTCGGTTATGCAAAGAAATAATTGAGATTATGTGGTTTTTAATGACTGGCTGGCCTATGGGGGGGGGTCAGGGAAGTCTATGTACCTGATGCAAGGCCTGAAAGAGTCAGTCAATAAGAACATGTGGCAATTAGAAATAGTTGTCTTTTTAAGCTATTTCTGTAGTTTTGGACACCCATTTACAAGGTCAGGAGGGTAATGCCGTTTTCCCAGTTGTATTTGGACGATGTTTTTCTTTTTGTTCTGCTAACTAGTGGCAGGGCGGATGACACTTTCCTACCTGCTTTATTTCTCATGCAGATTTTACACAAATGCCATAGCTTATCAGCCAGCCACTGGGTTGGTGTATCTGTGACCCCGTTCATAGAGATAGCATTGTTGTTAAAATGAAAAGTGACCTTAAACTAAAGGGGCTCCCGGCAAAGTATTAACCCACCTACTAATCCACTGACCTACTGGTATGCACCATGCTGACAATCAAATCTGCATTCTTGATTTGTTTGTTTGTTCTTGTCTTCTGGGCCTCGTTTCTAAATTTGGCTCTTCATTGGAGTGGCCAGTTACTACTTTCTTAGTGGGACTGTAGCTCCCTGCAGTGGCTTTGAATGCCTTTGTTCTCATTTGACTAACAAGTTCTTACTTTATAAAATATTAATCATTTTCTTTTTACAACTTGCTTTATGAAGCAGAAGACATGTGCTGAATCCGAACAATGCCGTAAATGCTGAGGGGGGGCCGTTCTCAGTGGGCTTGAGTTCTCACTTCTTGTACGGATGGAGCAAGAGGCAGATGAAAATCTGAAAGCCCGTCGCCAGTTGCATGCATTGGCCCATGTTTTTAATGTAATTTGACAATACTTTCCATGCACCCAAGCAGCCACTTTCCTTAAAATCCATGCTTTTAATGTTGAACCCTGCATTTGAGTTGAAAAATTGATGTGAGATCGAACAGTATCGTGACGTAAACTGTGAGTGGCTTGTGTGTCTACATTTTAAGCCGAAAAAGTTTACATCATAGTTATGGTTCAAAAGCATACCTTTGTTTTGCAGGCATCAAATGAAACAGGTCTTTGTCTCTCTTAAATCTCCGCTGCAAAAGGTTTTCGAACTTTGTGTTAACTACTATGGGATGTATGGGAGGTGGGATTAATTGGCTGAAGTGAGATTTATGTAAAGTGAGAAATGCTTTTCAAAATACTTTTCAAAACGCATTCAGCTATGCGTTATTGACATGACACTTTTTATACTTACGTTGGCTCAGTTAGCCATTGCTTGAATTTTTAGTGTGGAAGCTATTCATTTCTTTGTAAGTTCATTCATTTCTAAACTAGTGTTCCACTGGCATGGTCTTCCAGACATGAGAAAGTTAGCCTAAAGAAAAAAGTCCCTGGTAAAGGTTGTAAAGTCACCTTTATGCTTAATAAACAAGGGCGGGAATAAGCCACTTCTACTGAGCAAGAAAGCGGGTTGGAACAACTGGTGAACAGAGGGCTAAGTGACATCCTGCCACCAGTTTGGACTGGCAATATGAGCAGCTTCCTTGAGAAGTTGCTAATCAGAGTGTATCAGTCTGATAAGCTATTTATTGTTTGGTAAATTTATTGCCCTGTATTCAGTCAATCAATGTATTCTTCTCAGTCTCCTTTGCCTTAAAAGATCAGGACAGTTTTCTCCTCTATGAAAGTTTAAAAAACACAATAAATTACTAATAACAAGTCAAGATTTTTAAACTGATAAAAGTCATGACTTAATATGGAGGCAATTTGAGAGTTAGAAAGTGGGAAGCCAGGTCCTCAAGCCTGCTAACAAATAATTCATATATTCAATAAAAGAATTTTGAATTAATGAGTAGTTTTAAAGTGATGTCTAAGACAACTAGCTGTATTTTCTGTATTGCTGTCACAATGTACATAGGCTGCTGGTTGAGGGTGTGGGGACAGGAATAGGGTTGATGTTTTGGCCAAGGCCAGGGCTGGCTGTAACACATGTGGGATGCTTGTGCTAGGGGCGGGGGTAAGAGATTCCAGATGGTATTTAATTTGAGTGATTGAATCTATGGCATTTACCCTCATAAGCACACTAATCTGCTGAAGATTTGTACAGATTGCCCCAGAACCTCACTGCTACAATTGAGGGCAATTTTAGTGAGGCCTCCAAACTTTGGAGGTGGACAGATCTGGAAGTTCAGTCAGAGTTTTGCTCTTTGCAGAGAGAAGAGGGGAGAGAGAGGTGGAGAGGGAGAGGGAGAGGAAGAGGGAGAGAGAGGGGGGGGGGAAGAAAAGGAAAAAGAAAAAAAAGTCAACATTTTTAAGCTTCAATTTCCTTAGCAGAGTCTGGACATAATAATAATCATTTTGAAAGGTCAATATAAGAGTTGGGGGACAGATTTTCTTGTGTTCCTGTTTGTCTGAAATATTTGCTTTCATTAGTTTACTGACCAAGAATAATTTGGGGGGGGGCTCAGCATTTGACGTGGCATAGATTTTTGTAGTTCATAGATAACTGTCTTTATCGCCCATAGATAACTAGAACGTTTTGAAGTTCCGAGTAGGCATTCAGACTTTTACTAAGTTCATATTTAGAATTCCAGACAGAGCAAGATACTCTGTTGTTCTACTGTAACTGAAAATATAGGCCTCGTTAGTCTTCAGGATGTGTATAATATAGCGTGACGTTTGGGTCACTTGCTGTTCCTCTGCACGGATTTTGCGAAGCTAAAATCCGTTCAAATGCAGAATGCTTTTATGATGTTTCTGGTCACCCCCCCCACACCTTTAAAGAGGTAAATTGGGAGTGAGAGAGTGTTAGTAGGAGAGCTGGACAGAAGTCAGGTCCTCCCTCTGCTGTGAAACCCTGTAACACTCCTTTTGTGGTGTAATAACACACATTTACTAGGTCTTCCATGTAAGTTCAATGATATTTGTAGGAGACAACTGAAATATCCCTAGAAGCTCTCAGCCTAAAGTTGATATTTGTTTCTGCTCTCAAATTTGGGGAGGGGGTAATTCGGCAGCCAAGCATTGCTGGAAACCACTGGGTTTCAAACTGCAGATCCATGTTGAAGTTGGGATCCGAGCATCCTTTGAGAAAACGTAAGGTTTTCCTGTGGTTCATTTCAGCACACTCACAACAGCTCTGCACACATGGTTAAGACCTCTTCGTGCATCTTTGTTTGTTTGTTTGGGCCATTTCTCATCTGTTCTATGCTTTCTGTATCAATAAAGCTGCTCTTCTGGAGTGGTTTTTCTCAGAGCTCTTCCCACTGGCTCCCTCTGCTGCTGAATATGTGCATAGCACAGGCTAGCACTTGCTGTGGCTGCTGATAACGGTTTTCTTCCGGCCGGGGGATTGCAGGAAGGAAGATGGCATGTTCATAGCTGTGGCTGACTCTTAAGATATCCCTGCACAAGTATAAGATAGCTTATTAATTCCACTAAGAAGGAAGCTGAGTTATTTGGTTTAAAAGGCATTTTAATTTATGGCGTAAAAATAGGGGCAGTTTTAAAATTTGTAAATGTTATTAAAACATAGAAAAGAAGGATTGCTAAGAGTCCATGTGTATGTCTAAATAAATAAATGAATTTTGAGAGAAAAGCACCTCTATAGCTATTGAAACTCAGAAGTTGACTTCTTGGTGTTCTGAATTTGGTGTCTTGTTTTTCCAACTACTCAATAAAGGGAAAGCATCTTTGCAGTTTGCATCTAGACCCTCACAGCAAGTAGAAAAGATTTTGAATCCTTGTTTATATCACCACAATCAGAAAAAACTCTCCCTTTTAAGTACTAATAGGAAAGAAGACACGGGTGTTTAAAATGTTTTACGTTTACGCACATGTGTGCATGTCTGTACACGTGTGCGTACTCATTGGGAGATGAGAGGACAAGTTGTAGCCATTTTCTCCTGTCATCGTGTGAATCTGGGAACCAGACTTAGGTGAGCAGGTCTGGTTACGAGCACCCTTACCTACCGAACCATCTCGCTGGCCTGAACATTTCAGGGAAGATTTTCACTTCGTTGACTAGTAAGGTCTTTGTTTTTACCTTGCAAGATACTAAGGACCAAAGGGGGGGGGCAGCCTACATTACCACCAGTTCAGTCTTGTATCAGCATTTGGTGTTGGAGAACTTAAAACACTCCTCACGTTTATATTTCAATAGACTAATCATTACTAAAAGAATGATTTTTTATAGGAAAATGGTAGCTTCTGTGACAGAGTATTAGGAACTACCCT